TGTCCTAGCGTTTGGATGTACTGATAAGATAACAACAAGTGCTGAAAAGATAAAAATAGATCCACTGGACCTGTTGTAGCCACACTTCATACTCCTTTACTAGAGTTTCAGCATTGGCCATATTGGCTCAAGTGACCCACAAGTTTTCTTCAGCCAGGTATCCCTTCCTCATCATCTATGAGGTCGGGTGGTGGTCGACTAGGTTTTGGTTGGTTTGGGAATTCTGGAGGATTATATGGCATTAGTAATGCTTTGTTAAACCAATTGTGAATTTTTCAGTTGACCAGTAACTTTAACTCGTAAGCTGAGACGCCTTGTTTTGATACAATCTCAAAGGGTCCTACTCACTTGTTGTCAAGCTTTTTCTTTGGGCTTGGAAGGTGGAGATTGGTGGTATCCAGCCAGACCTTGTGGCCTATTTTGTACATTTCGGCATTTCTTTTATGCTTATCATATGCCTTCTTCATACTCTCTGCTGCCTTCTCCAGAGCTTTTGCAGCTTGTTGTTGTGTCCTTTTCATGTCACTCACAAACTTTTCTATGGCCAGCACTTCTCCCTTGTTCTTCTTTATTACCATGGTTTGGCTATCTCTTCCAAAGTTCACTTTGTATGGGGAGTATCCCATAGTGGAATGTTTCCAGTTGTTGTGAGTGAATGCCACCAATGGTAGCCATTCCACCCAGTCGTCCTGTCGGTAATTGACAAACATCCTCAAGTACTTGTTGATTTCTTGATTGGCTCGTTTCATTTAGCCGTCAGTCTGGGGATGATATGCCATAGATGGGTTTTCTTTGATGTTGATGATGGCATAAAACTCCTTGATGAATTTGGAGACAAACACCATTCCTCTGTCTGATATGATCTTTGAGGGAATCATCCTGTATCACACATAAACTTCATCACGCAATATTTTTGCCCATCCCAGGGATGACAACTCCTTAGTACATGGTATTGGAATGATTGCCTTGGGGGGATGTAAATGCGACCATCATAGTACAACAATTCGTTCTTTTTACTGATCCCTTTTTCATGATTTAGGGATGTTGCAATTCCTTGGTCCCAGTTGCTGGGGGTTTTGGTGAAGTGCCGAATTTTGGCATGAACTTCCTCCTCTGTCGGCATTTCCAAAGCTCTAAAGTGTTCAGGTCTTAACACTATAATGTCCTTGTTGTCTTCTTTTCCTTGTCTGTGATCTTCTCTCCTGCTTAACAGATCCGCCTTTAAGTTTTGAGCATCTGGCTTATGATGGAGTGTGAACTGATACTCTGCTAGCTTGGTGACTCATTGCACTTGTAGGTGACTGAGTTTTTGAGGCTTGTGGAAGTATTGGAGGTTCAAATGATCTGTCCAGATCTCAAAATCCTCTCGTGCCCCCATCAGGTAGTGTCTCCAGTCCTCTAAGGCAATCATGATTGCCAGTAACTCCTTGTCATAAATCTCATAGTTTCGTTCAGTATCGGACAAGGATTTAGATAAGAACGCTACTGGTCTCCACTTTCCTGCTTGCTCTTGTGATAATACTGCCCCTATCGCTCCTTCACTTGCATCTGCTTCTACTCGGAACTTTCCTTCATTGAGTGGAATGGCCAATACTATGTTGCTTTTAAATTTATCTTTGATCGCTTCAAAGGCCTTTTGTTGTGCTTTTCCCCATGTCCATTGAGCATTCCCGGTCAACTTCATGAGCAGTTTTACAATTTTGCTGTAATTGCATATGAACCATTGATAGAAGTTGGCAAATCCCAAGAAAGATTGTAGCTCCCTTTTCTTCGTTGGGGTAGGCCATTCTAGTAATCCGGCAATTTTGACTGGGTCCAGGTGAATAGACCCTTTGCTGATGATTACACCCAAATACTCTGTTTCTTCTACTTCGAACTCGCACTTCTCTACCTTTAGAAACAGTTTGTTCTCACATAAATGCTTGAGCACCTCCTTTACCAGCCTCCGGTGTTTGGCTTTGTCCTTGGTGGCAATTAGAATGTCATCCAGATACACAGTAACTTTGCCTTCCGCTATCAGATCCTTGAATATGTCATTCATCATCCACTGGAACGTTGCTGGAATTGGTGAGTCCAAAGAACATTACCAGGGGTTTGTATAGTCCCCAGTTAGTTCTAAAGGCTGCTTTCCATTTGTCTCCTTCTTTGATCTGTACATTGTTGTACCCCCATCATATGTCCATCTTGGAAAAGTATTTGGTGCCCTTTAGCTTGTCCATGAGTTCTGAGATTAGTGGAAGAGGATAGCGATTCTTGATCGTCATCTCATTCAGCTTCCAATAATCTTGGACTGGTTGAAGTTTACCATCTTTCTTTTTGACAAAGAAGAAGGGAGATGCCATTGGAGATTTTGAAGGTTGAATTCTTCCAGTGGACAGGTTTTCATCCAGGAATTTGTCTAATTCCTTTTGTTCGATAGGATTCAATGGGTATACCTTGCAGTCGAGACTAGCGTTGGCATTTGGTACTAACTCAATAGCATGGTCCCACAGTTTTCGAGCTGGTAACTCATCAAAGTTGGCTTTGTCGAATACATCTTTATACTCTCGATACTGCTCCAGGACTAATTCTTCAAATGTCTTCTCCTTCTTCTTCTCATTAGCCTTGGCTGCCAATTTGTTGGATTTGCTACCCATGGTGCATACATGAAACACCTCTTCAAAGTCCACTACCAAAATTGTATCCCCTTCCTCATATTCTTCTCCTCACTTGGTTTCTGGTCTGACATCAGGTAAAGAGAAGGGAATTTTTCTGCAGGAACACTGGGCGAAGGTCACCGCTCCCATTTTCCAGTCGATGAGGGGATTATGCCGTTGTAACCAGTCATATCCAAGGAAAATGAGCATGGTGCCTAGATCGATGACAGCTAGTTCAATGTATTTGCTGTGGTCTCCAATGTGCAGTCATACTTCTGCGTACTCCATTATATCTCCTCCCTTGTTTCGGGTTCCATCTGCATTGTATATGAGGGTCAAGTGAGCTGTCTTTTGGGTGTTCAGAAAGTGGCTTTTAGCCTATTTGCGGTCAATAGCACTACCTGTGCACCCACTGTCTACTAGTGCAGGAACATTGTATGCATCTAGGGTGTCAACAGTTTTGAGTTGGAGCTTGATGTTAACACTCCTTCCTTGACCACCTTGTATATACTGAGGCAGGTACTGCAAGTTGTCTAACCACTCTAGGGCCTCTTCCCTGTCCAGATACATTTTGTCTGCCTTCTCTTTCAAGCTTTCCACCAAGTCGTCGTTGACTTCAGTCAAATGTTGGGGGTGTACCCATCTGTTTAACACTCCTCTTGCTTTGTTTGTGGTCTTGGCTAAGTGGAGTGCATGTCGGGTCCAGTCAGAACCAAACAGTTGCATCCACTGCCATTCAGAGTACTCTGACAAAGAGTACTTGGCTGGTAGGCCATTTGGCTTCGTGGTCTTCCCCTGGTCACCGTTCGCTGTAGGTTTTGTGGCCCTTTGTCCTTCTACAGTTACTGAGACTCCTGCCTTTTTGCTTTCACTACTGAGGACTTTTCCACTTGGGGATGGCCTGCACAGGGAAGATTTTTTAGAGTTCTTCAAACTCTGTAGATAGCTGAAACTGTCCTCCTCATCCAGGACCTCTTCTACAGTTACTGCATTTTTGGAAGAACATAATGGTCCCTTCTGCCCACCCACTGAGGAACACAAGCCCCCAGTGCCATTATGTGAAGTGGGAAGACACACCTGAAAGATGTGAATCTCTCCATCAGGTTTGAGGACGATGCAAGGGTCGACCGTTCTTGAGGTAGATGCATGCCATGAATGCTCGTTCTCTGTTGCATCTGCGTTCCACAATACTACAGTCTGTTCATCAGCTGTCTTGCCTGGTTTCCTGCTGGCTTGAATCTTCGGCCCTCCTGGAAGTTTGATTCAAGGTTGGGCGTTGCTCCTGCTTCCGGGGGTGGTGTCAGTTACTGTCAAACCTTCATCTGGAAGCACTGTGACACTACAGGCCTCCACCTTCCCTGCTGGCTCTGCCCTCAACCTTTGTCATGTTCGCTAATTCTTCTTCCTTTTTGGCTTCTGCGAGTAATTGTTGAAGTCAAGCAGCATTGGCCTTTTTTTGAGGTGGCATCTTTACCTTCTTCCACTTGGACTTGTCTTCCAGGCCCTTGTTGTCCTGTGCCATGTGGTTCGAGAGACCACACTTGAAGCAGAGACTATCCTTCTTGAGCTGGTCGATCTCCATCAGTTGCCCTTGTCCACCATACGTCATGCCCAATGAGTCCTTTTTGTCACTGGAATTCCCAGAGCTACTGGCTTTTCCTGATGACCCTTGGTTGCCTCGACCTGAACTGTTATTTGAGGGGGTCTTATTGGGGTTTTCCCCAGACTGGGCAACATTGTAGCAGTAGTTGATGTTGATGTGTTCGATCCTCCACTTCCACTCTTGATAGGTTGTAGGACAGTTGTTGTCCCCATGCATGATGGTGTTCTTGATGGTGGGGCGTACTGCCTTCTCCACTGTCTCAAACATCTGTTTCTCATCACTATACTTGTTGCACTGAATTGCTAATTCCTTGAAGCAGGTGAAGAACTCCATGGCCGACTTGAAGTCTGCCTGTCAAAATTTTGGCCATTTCTGCTTCTTGATGGCCAACTCCACCTCCTCGTAGAACCTATTCTCTAGTCGGCCACGGAACTCGAACCAGTTGGGGTACTGCCAGTGTCCCCTTACTGCGTCTTGAGACACGTGCTCTTGCTGGTCCCACCATTCCTGTGCCACAGTCCGGGTGGCTGAACTGGTGGTAAGGCGGAGTTTGGGGGTCATAGTAGTGACCTCAGCATCCAATTGTAGTGTGGACTGGGGTACCCACTGGGCCGACTGTGCTGAGGGATCAGTGGCAGAGGCGGTGCAGGAGACTGGGACAGCTTCTGTGTGGTGGAAGCGTCGGCATCTTGTGTTGCATATCCTTCATCGGCTCCTTGGGCAGTGGCCCATATCGGGGGTATTATTGGCATTGGTGCCAGTCAGCAGTATGGGGCCCCAGGTTCCTTCGGATCTTTGGGGTGGATCATGTTCCAGATGTTTGCCGTTACGCAATACATTTCTACCATTATAATATTGGTCATTGTGAACTGATCATATATCCGGTTAGCACTAATGTAATCGATTCCTGCATTGGTCATCCGCCACCAAGGATCAGTGCAAATGCCATAGCCTATAGCATCAAACAATTTGTCCCAGTTCAACCCCCATAGGAGTACTGGGACCATCTCCACCACTGTATTGAGTACCTGATGGACCTGCCTCAGGATCTCCTTGTAGTACCCTCCTATGGGTGGTTTTGTTGGCATAGGGGTTTGGGAGGGTTGGATGGGAGTATGCCATGGCATAGCGGTGTGCTTCATCGTCATCGAGTACTGGAACTCAGGTTCAGTTTGCCTCAGTAGGCCATGACCACTTCAGGTTCTGTGACACCATATTGATGGCAAACGAAGTTTGCTGTGGGGTGATCGGAATCTATGACCCAGGTAGGACTTGGGGTCTCATTGGGGACTGCAGTTCCATCAAACTCGTGGGGCCAGGTACATTCCTCATACTCTCTGACCCTTCTCGAGAGTGCTGCTGCCTCTCTTCTGGTCTCCAGATGGGCCTTGACTTCTGAGAGGAGCCTGGCAGACTGTATGTCGAGCCTGGACTTGATGAGCATGAGATGGACCAGAGTCCAAGGTTGCTCGAATGGGATGACAGGACTGGCGAGTGCGTGGGCCTCTGTGATTTGTTGGTTCTTAGTGACAAAAGGTCGCTCAGCATCTCTGAGGGTTGGCAAATCTGGTCTAAGGGGACCATGGTACAAGGGGTATGCAGGGACTCCTTTGGAGTGCCACTCTGGCTCTGGGAGGGGAAGGGGGTTGTTGTTGGTTTCAATCCAGTCCTATATTGCTCATTGTCTCTCATCTTCAGAGAGGGGGGAACCGGGGCATGAGTAGGGCTCAGGGGAAGTGGTCTTGGCTTGTGAGAGTACCTGTCTAGTTGTCTCCTCTGGGATTCCAAAAACCTGGAATCCGTCTCCCCTGTGAACAAGGCTGCATGGCAATACCACTCTTTGTCCAGTGGTCCCAGCTCGAACTGTTGTGGAGGATGCTGGAGATGGGGACCTAGGATGGTAAGATCTTCCATCTGAGTCTCCACTGTGATGGTCTCCATTGAGGGCTTCTTCATATGCCTGGAGCGCTGAGAGGTAGAAACTTCCGGTACGGGGGTCAGGGGTCATTTCTGTCTATGACGACAGGATGAGGTCATTGATTGAACCATCACGTCTGATATAGTCTGCAAAATCTCTTTCTTCTTCTGGCTCTGACTTGACTGGGAGTTCTGGCTGGTGAGTGAAAGGTGTGAATCCTGTGCTTGAATGGTTGGATCCTGGTATGGACTCTGTGATGTCGACAGATCTGGATTGACTGGAGTGTGGGGATGGGACGGGTGTGATGGGTCGTCGTAAACGCGGGTTCCAAGGGTAAGGAGCGTTTTCGTAGGCCTCTGCAGGCTCGTCAAGGCTAACTGGCATCGCCACGTCACCTTTAGGCTCCGCCTAGAAGCGCCGCTTCATCCGGGAGAGTGAGGCCTTTGCTCTGTCTCAGTTTTCGGTGCCAGAATTCTGGCGGAGGTCGAAAAACTGAGAGACATCGGGGCAGTTGTCTCACTTGCACCCATTCTTCTCCCCGCAATCCAAGGTGAGCTGAGCTTCGCTCGCTCCCTCAGCTTTACACTCATTACAAACCCTTCATACCAGGTTGCACAGTAGGCTTTGCCTACTTATTTATCCTCTTACTCTACAAGCCTTTAATCAGCCCCCGTGTGCCTGGTGAGGCTCCGCCTCTTCCCTAGCTTTCAATCCGGTGATCTTAACTAGCCACCAGCTTACTTGCCGGTCTTCTTGGTCTCGACACATTCTCTGCTCAGAAGTCAACTTCAATCTCTTCTACTGTTCTCGCGCAAGCACCGCACATTGCGACACTTGTCTCATCTGGCATCTCTGACCCACATATTGCGGAGACGTTCCGTCTCCGCCAACTCTATGCCACTGAGAAGTCTTTCGACAACCTTATCGCCTTCCTTCAGGCCCTTCCTCTCAAGGAGCCCATTGCTCGCCCATTCTGGCGTCTTATCATCCAGGACCACTACGTTGACTTCCCGAAGTTCTTCGCCTCCATGGATCGAGGCTACGACCACAATGAGGATGCTAAGGAATTATTTGCAGGTTTTGCGATCGTTAAAAAGGACACCTCATCTGCAAAACGACCAGTTACGTCCGAGGCGGACTGGTATCGTGTTTTTGACGCCTGGTCGAAGGGTGTTGTGTCCCTCTACCCTCATCGAGAGGCTGAGCTTAGCACTTATCGTGAGACTGTTGTCGAACTCTTTAGGGCTGTCCCGCATGACCCAGCAATTGCGATTCGCTTTGATGAAGATATTCGGTCACGCTATGCAAAACGCCCTTTCAGGATGGATCTCAAGAATGAGGTCCAGATCCCGTTGCTATCTCAGATCTTCCGCCCAGAGATTACGCAGCGCAATACGAAGCGCCCCTCCTCTTCCTCCTTCCCAAATCCGAAGCGTGCGGCAGTACCTTGCGAGAATTGGAACCTGGGGTATTGCACATTGGAGCCGTGCACGAATCGTCGTCGCCATGGCACCTGTAGTGAGTGTGGAGCTAACCACCGAGCAAAAGACAACAGCGATTGTGCCTCCCTCCTCCAGGCCCGCCGTCGTACAAGGTTTGGAAGAGGAACAGGTAGCATCGAGGGTAGCAGCAGCAGCGGAAGGTCCTAAATCGCTGGCAGGGACGAAGCGTAAGCAAGATAATCAAATTGCGGGTCCTCGCTTCAAGCGTGGTTATATATGGTCCGAATCATCATCCTCTTCACCTATGCAGCCTGTTTCCCCAGCGGCAGCCTCTACTGAGTCTGCATCTCCTCTACCATCACCCCCTGAACAGTTGCTTAACGATCCGCAACTACAGTCTACCCTTGCCGCTCTCAAAGATTATATACTTGTTGATACTCCCTTTAACGTTGACCGGCTTGAGAACATTCTCTCGCTACACCCTAATAAACCTTTTGTCGATTCAGTTATCAGAGGCCTTCGAGATGGCTTCTGGCCTCTTGACCTTGGAGAATGGGAGGAGTCTAGCAGGGATAACTCAGAAAACTATGCATCAGACCCTGCGGATCTTGCAGAGATTCGAGCATTTAGAGATCGCGAGGTTGCTGCCGGCCGATGGTCCCCTGCGCTACCGCCTAATTTCCAACTCTTGCCCGGGATGAAAGTCTCACCAATGTTCGTAGTGTGGCAAGAGGGAAAGCCAAGGGTGGTTACTGACCATACCGCCTCTGGTCTCAATGCTGGAATTCCTCCTGAAGAAGCTCATGTGAAATACGACGACATGCACCCTTTTGGAGAAGCACTGCATAATGCACTGCATAATGCTCGACAGCGTTATCCTGATGCAGACTTCATCCTTTACAAGAGTGACGTCGCAAAAGCCTTCCTGAATCTGCCAGCACATCCTCTCTGGCAAATCCGACAGGTTGTCATTGTCGACGGCCGGTATCACATTGTTCGACGACTAGTCTTCGGTAACCGGGCATCACCTCGCATCTGGTGCTCAGTGTCCGGTCTGCTTTGCTGGATCGGAATCTATAAGTTGAACATTCCGGACCTCCATGTTTATATGGATGATTTTTTCGGATGGGACTTCGCAAATAACCTCGTGTTCTATCGAGGCCTGCTCCGCCCTAGCCGACAGGTTCAATTACTGATTTTCTGGGAGTTTATCTCCTGCCCCTTTGACGATCCGAAGCAGCTACATGGCCGAACATTGAAAATTATAGGATTCTGGGTCGATGCCAATAAAGGAAGCATCTCTTTGGATCAAACTTCCATCGACCATCTTGTCTCCGACATCGAGTCCTTCCTCGCAACACCCGGTCGTGCTCCTATACTCATAAAGTGGCAACGCATTGCTGGCTACCTCAATTGGGCTCTGAATGTCTTTCCTTGGGGGCATCCTGCCCTATCCGAGCTATATAGGAAGATGGCAGGAAAATCATTCAGATTTACGAAGATCTTTATCAACGCAGCAGTCCGTGAAGATCTGACATGGTTGTCGATGACGATTCCTGACGCAGTTGGCGTTCGTTTCGTTGACTCTACACATTGGATGGATAGTCAAGCCGAGATGATCATCTGGACTGATGCTGCTCTCAGGTTGGGGCTTTCCTTTGTGTTCGCTGGCAATGGCTTTGTGTATCAACTCCACCCTCCACCTCCTGGTACCATTATCGACATCTTTTTCCTGGAGCTCATGGCTATCCTTGCCGCCATTCACTATGCCACCTCCCTTCCTAAACCACCCCGCCGGTTGCTTCTCTTCACCGATAGCCTGGACTCCGTCGCGGCATTCAATTCCTTAGCGGTGGCACAATCTATGCATAATGCGCCCCTCCAGGCTGTTGCGTCCCTCATCCTGAAGTCAGGAATAGACATCCGAGTTCGGCATATTGAAGGCAAGAACAATATCCGTGCTGATCTTCTCTCTCGTCTTTTGATAGACGAATACCATCTGAAATTCCCTGCAGACCGCGTCCGCACGTTCACTCCACCAAGGGAGCTTCTGCCGGCGCGATGGAGAGAGTGCTTTTAACTGCCCTGGGTGAGCGTGCTCCACGCACAGCTCGCCCAGTCCACTCGTTGTCATTTATTGACGAACGGGCTCTCTTCCTTCAGCTCCATGCTCTCGAATTGGCATCAATTAAAGGTTATGCTACCGGTGCAAGGGACTATGCACGCTTTTGTATTTCCCACCATCTTCCCCTTGACCCAACACCCTTAACGCTTAGCCGTTACATCGCATACACGTCACAATTCATTGCCTCCAGCCCGAAATATCTTTCAGGAGTCCGACACTTTCTTCGAGACATTTATCCCTACTTTGACGACAGTCGACGTTCTCCCCTAGTACAAGCGACGATACGAGGATCAAAAAAGGTCCGGGCGGACCCCGTTCAGAGGAAGCTCCCCCTCCGCCAATCACATCTCGCTACTTTTCAACTCTTGGCTCAAATGTCAGGGTCTTACGACGATCTCCTGTTCATCACTATTCTTTCATGTGGCTTCTATGGCTGTCATCGATCCGGAGAACTGGTCTGGAATAATGATAAACAGCTCCAGGATTATCGCAAGGTGATCAAGCGCTCTTCACTTCTCTTTGACAATGGCCGCGTACAATATCATCTGCCCTATCACAAATCAGACCCTTTCTATCACGGGTCTGATGTCTTATTCACGCACCAAGACGTTGCTGACCCCGTTAAACTCCTATACGATTATGTGGTCTTACGGGACTCCCATCATGGCCCACGGTCTCCTCTGTTTCTTTGCGAGGATGGCTCTATCCCAACTCGCTCTTGGTTTGACAAAAAATTCTTCACATTTATGGGAAAAGATTTCGGTGGTCACTCATTGCGAGCGGGTGGAGCTACATTCTACGCATCGCTCGGACTGTCAGAGGCCATTATCCAGGCCTTGGGTCGGTGGTCTTCCAAGGCATGGACTCTATATGTGCGAGAACATCCTGCTATTCGTGCCGAATTTGAATTGGCAGCCTTACGACGTACTCAACCACCTGCTCTCTGACCTTGCGGTTCGCTCATCACTTCTGAACCTCCACCACCCCCCACACACATCATCCTCAGCATCCTTTCTTAGCCTACCGCTTCCCGCAATGTGATGGAGCTTGCGGATGCAAGCTCGGTATTTGGGCTATCCCCTTGATTGCTTGCGAAGAAAGCAGAGGTCGTCGTAAACGCGGGTTCCAAGGGTAAGGAGCGTTTTCGTAGGCCTCTGCAGGCTCGTCAAGGCTAACTGGCATCGCCACGTCACCTTTAGGCTCCGCCTAGAAGCGCCGCTTCATCCGGGAGAGTGAGGCCTTTGCTCTGTCTCAGTTTTCGGTGCCAGAATTCTGGCGGAGGTCGAAAAACTGAGAGACATCGGGGCAGTTGTCTCACTTGCACCCATTCTTCTCCCCGCAATCCAAGGTGAGCTGAGCTTCGCTCGCTCCCTCAGCTTTACACTCATTACAAACCCTTCATACCAGGTTGCACAGTAGGCTTTGCCTACTTATTTATCCTCTTACTCTACAAGCCTTTAATCAGCCCCCGTGTGCCTGGTGAGGCTCCGCCTCTTCCCTAGCTTTCAATCCGGTGATCTTAACTAGCCATCAGAAGTTTTCACCGTTTCGCTTTTTCGTTCACCCTCCCTCCACTCCCGGATCATGTGTATTATAGTGTATTATAGTGTATCATTTAGTGTACTGTGTACGTCACCTACCGCTTCCCGCAATGTGATGGAGCTTGCGGATGCAAGCTCGGTATTTGGGCTATCCCCTTGATTGCTTGCGAAGAAAGCAGAGGTCTGTCATCATGGAGGATAGGTTGTGGGGGTGCTAGAATATGGGGGTATGGGTATACATAGTATGGAACTGAGAGATGGGGAATGGGTTGTAAAGGTAAGCATGCACACTCTCTGCATTGGCAGCAGGAAAAGATCTGGCCAATTCAGTACAACAGGGTGCCTGTACAGAAAAGCCTGAAGGCTATGGTAATAGTGATGGTTTGGTTGAGGGACAAAGCAGGCATATGCGTCAGTCACCATGGTTAAACAATGAGGGACATAAAGGTCAAGCCTCGGCTAAATGTTAGCCACCAACTCAACAAACAAAGTCAAACAAGAGAATGCCACTTGCACTTCGGTGGATCATTCAGAGTGTAGGCTATGCCAGTCTTATGAGCGGGTAACTAGACTTAGATAGTCTGTCACGAATTCATCCCTATTTTTTGCTTTAGTCATTTGCTTTATGTCATTCTTCCTCGATCGTCATCTGATTCTCATCATCACTCCTATCTGGGTCATTTGTAACCCGCTTGCTGATACTCCCAGATCACTTCATACTTCCATCATGGTATCTTTGTTCCGATCAATCAACAGTCGCTTCCGCATCACTTGATCCCTGATTCGCAGTGAACGAGCTCAGACATCCTTTCCCTGGTGGAGTTCTGACCACAAGAGCACCACACATCCAGAACTTTGCTCATCTCGCTGGCTGTGTATCATTGGATAGTACTCTTGCTGGCATATTACCATTGGCCATATCACCTGCAGTCGCTATCATAACACCATAGTAGTATAGTTATTATTAGCATACCAGACTTGTATTTAAGCTAGCCTATGCTGTGGCCTTAGACCCCAGCTTCGGCTAAAGTCATATACTCCCAACTTGACCTGAACTCCAAGTTTTGCAACTACTTAAGTTCTGTTCACTCAATGTGGTCTGCATTGCTACCTTTGTTTTGTTTTACCGAAGTGCAAGTAAACGAACTAAGGCTCGATCTTGCAGAGTCAAGTTGGTGCTTGACATAGTTGCAGAGTGAGGAGCTATGAGTTAGGTAGATTAAACCTTAGCTGAAGCTGGGGTTTAGGCCAGCTGAGGCTCTACTTAAATACACTTTTAGTATGCTAATAATAGTACATTACTGGACGGTAACCATGCATGAAACTAAGAGAGTCATATGATGTATGTGCGTTGCAGCACAACGTGAGAGTCAAGTGTTGACAATGTGTGAACTGTCCTAGCACTTGGATATACTGACAAGATAACGACAAGCACTGAAAAGATAAAAATGGAAAAATCATAACAGAGTGGGAGATGGTATAGCAGCTGACATCATTAGTAAGACATGTAAAAGTCACATAACAGTAAAAAGAATTCCAAAGCATTCTATCACCTTTCTCATATATATAAAGGGCATGCATTTCTCCCTCTGTCTCCCTCCTCTTTCCTCATTTTTGAAAAACCATGATGGTCTTGAATAACAACCATGGTGAGTTCCTTTCAACTGAGTGAAATCCTTAACTGACTTGCTTGCTTAGTGCCTCAGACACCCCACTCTTGTGAGTAACCATTTTTGCTATTGCTGCAGACAACTCAGAAGTTTGACAGCCTGTTGTCAAGAAAAGTCTTCTATGGCACAGTCTCCCTTATACACAGGCCACAGTGCCCAGCACTCTCACTTCTGTATGGAGCTCTCTATTGACCATGTCAAGCCTTTCATACTTAGACATAAAATCCATCACAATGCCTCAGAACATCTCCACCAGACACAAGAGCCTATCCCATGCAACTACAACAATGATGTAGAATACTTTTCTGAGCCTTTCTTCATGCTGGAGGAGCTCAATAGTGTTGATGGCTTGGAGACATATGCTCCACTGATCATTCCTGCTGGTTTCAAGGAGAATGACCCCTACATCAAGGCCACAAACAATATGAAAAAAAATATCTCACCTGGGGATTTGGGCACTCATAGTAGCTACCACATGGTTCTGAATGGTAAAACATGCAGTGTGCACCAGGGTTGGTGAGTACACAGTGATTACATATGCCATACAGCACTGATTATTTCTGCAGGGACACTACCTCGAAGTTAGTGCTCAATTTTATGAGTGCCTCTTTTTTCCAAGTAGATTCCTGCAGTGATGCCAAAGAGTCCTGGTGAGATGCATTCCTCGAGAACCATGTTGGCCCCCCAGAATATCATTGCCATGAAGCTGTCAAACAAGAGGCCACCTTACCCCCAAGAACTCCTCCATCTTCCCCTCGCTACTCAATTGCTAGACGTTGTGGTTATAGCAATGAGTATGCAGCCACCTCTCATTCCACCTCATCCTCCCCTCCCCCTCTAAAGGGAGAAAGCCATCACTATTTGCTGGCCATCCCTTGAACCCCTTGAACATTTTTGGTGCACTGCAGAGCCTTAAGGCAGGCTCATCTGCCAGTGCTTACTTTAAAGAGCTATGTGCCAGCCTCTGAGTCTTCATGTGTTGTTTCACCTTTGTTGAGGAAGGACATATGGGAGTGAGTCCTGACCTATTGGGTCATAACACAAAACCTCCACCCAAGCATTTTCCATGGAATGTAAGTGACTTTTGTCAGCCTCTGACACCTGTACCAGATACATGAACATAAGTATCTCCTCAGATCACAAACAAATGGAAACACAACTGAGAAGAAGAAAAGAAAGGTACACAATATATAAAGGTCCAGTATGATCATGTAAGATCCTTGTGATCATAACACATCACAACATCAAGTCCATTGAATAAGTATTATCTATCTAACATACCAATGATCAACATTTGACCAAGCCTAGAAACAGGCAATGTTTTATATGAAGAGGTGACATGAACAGTTTGTGAGAATAAACATTCTCATCCACAGAAGTCCCTTCAGAATGTGAGTAAGCCCCATACATTCCAATTTGGTTGAAGAGAGAGAGACTGATTTCTGTTTTACACTTAACCATGAAACCAGACCTCCATACAGGTAAACCTCATATCTCATTATGCTCTTTCTATCTCTTTCATCAGATGCCCAATCTGCGTCCACCAATCCCAGATCAGAGCACACCACTGCATCAGGTCTAACCTTCTCTCTAAGGTAGGCACCCCCATACTCAATCACCCAGTCTGCTGTCACATTCAGATACTTCAGGAAACTTTTTGCCACAGCTAGTAGATTTCTTGTTGGTCTCATGTTGTATTGCCCTAGTGCCATAGCTGTATAACTGTACTGAGCTGAACTGGGGTGAAACAATGGTGACATAGAAAGTGAAAGCTGGTAAAACGATACTGGCTGGTGAAAGTGAAATGATGCTGGCAGAATAAAAGATAAAAGCGAGTTGTGGACATGAAATTCTGTGTATTGGCACAATATGAGCATACACCAATACCATTTAGAAGAAAAGCCATGACAGAGAGTATAACTTGGAGTGACTATGCTGTTATTGTCTGTCTCCTAGTGGGTACAAGAGATAGCAGTTGTAGCAACTTAGTTACTTGTTGTTGATAACCTGTGTCCCCAATAATTACTACTACACTAGCCTTTATACTACAAGTCTGGAATAAAATTAGAATACTTGAGATGAGTCTTTAGTATATCAATTGGTAAGAAATGATACAAAATGTGTGCTCCTAGTGTTCTAAAGTAACAGCACCCACACAGTTTTACTGTGTATAGACTTGGTGATCAGAAAGAATTCCACCAACATATGGACTCTTAGGCTGCTGTGTTGCTGTGGCAAAGTACACTGAAGTAAATATGTGTAGCATTGTCTTGGCATTGTAACAGCCTTAGTAAAGCTGGTGGAAAGGTCATGGTATTAAGTCTTTTGCCATGGAATAGATACTTTGGTGGCAGTGTTCTATTAAGTGACGCTTGATGCTGATGTCAGTGATGGCTGTGCTGAATGATCAATGATGGTCCTAATTCTGTGAGATCTGCAATCAGGTGCCTGGCAGCAATGATGAAGTGGCACATATTGATGCAGAATATGAGTTGGGAAGGATATTTGGCAGTAAAAGTGGGTATTGCTGTGAATGCAATTGTTGACTTAGTGAAAGTCTGCTAAGTGGACAAGGCATTTATTATGATGCTAAAATCCGTGAATTCTAAGTGTACAGAGCCTTGAGGCTCATCATCAGGTAGTGCCAGTGTCTGCGTATTGGATTGCAGTACATGTGTTCCTATTAGTCCCACTATAGTCAGGCATCTCTCTTGAAGTACCCTATTGCAAAGGTTATTTGGTATGGGTTGTCTCCTTGTTGATTGAGAGAGAAGTGCTCTGTGAATACCTCAAAATAAGTCTCGCACTGGTTAAAAAACCTTTGTAGTTCATTGGCCTTCCCTGTAAAAGGGTCTGGCTCTGCAACAAGTTTGGGTTTCATCTTTTCCCAAGGGTTTGCATCTGCCAGTCCCATATTCCATCTGGGTGGCATAGGTGGTGGTGGGCCATTGGGTGGTATGGGGGGTAGTGCGGGTGCTGGGGGTCATGGTAAAGATGTCAGGGTCCAATTGTGGTGAGGGCTTGGGAATCCTCCCAGTCAACTGTGCTGAGGGATTGGCAGTGCTGGTGGTGCTGGTGACTGTGATGGCTTCTGTGTAGTGGAGGTGTCAGCTGGTTTATCAGCTCCTTGTGCTGCAGCCCAGATTGGCTCATATGGCATCAATCTCGGGATGGTGGGACTCACTGACCCAAGTGGGGCTGGGCTTCCAGTGGGATACTGTCCCATCAAAGGCATGGGGCCACTGGGCTCGTTCCCACTTCTGTATTCTTTACAAGAGTGCTGCTGCTGCTCTTCCAGCCTCTAAACAGGCCTTGACTTCTGGGGGGAGCTGGGCAGACTGAATGTTGAAGCCTGACTTGATGAGTGCGAGATGGACGCAGGTCTAAGGTCACTCAAATGGGATGATGGGGCTGGCGAGCACATGTGCATCTACAACTTGTCTGTTCTCAGTGACAAAAGGTTGCTCAGAGTCTCTGAGGGTCAGTGAATCTGGTCTAAGGGGACTATGGTAGAGGGGATAGGTGGGGACACCCTCCATTTGGGGTGTTTTGGGGAGTGGGAGAGGGTCATTGTTGGCCTTGATCCAGTCCCAGACAGCTTGTCTTCATTCATCTTCAGAGGTGGAGGATGCGGGCGGTGAGTAGGGCTCAGGTGACTCGGTTTTCCTGGAATGGGAATCCCTTGTAACAGATTGGGCAGTTGCAATGCCTTCCTCTGTGATTCCATAATTCTTGGATCCGTCTCCCCTGAGTAAGAGGCCAAGGCTTGATACCACTTCATGTTGAGTGATCTGTGGACAAACTGTTGTGGAGGAAGCTGGAGATGGAGACCTAGGATGGTAAGATCCTCCATCTGAGTCTCTACCATCATGGACTCGGATGACTACGTCTTGGTATACTTGGAGTGCTGACTGGTAGAAGCTTCTGGTATGAGGGTCAGGGTTCTCTTCAGTCCATGACAACAGGATGAGGTCATTGATGGTACCACCGCATTGGATATAGTCCACAAAATCCCTTTCTTCTTTGTGCTCATCTGGGAGCTCTGGCTGGTGAGCAAAAGGTGTGAAGCCTGCGCTGCTGTGGTTGGATCCTGGTACAGGCTCTGCAATGTTGACTGATCTAGATTGACTGGAGTGTGAGGGCAAGAGGGGTGTGATGGGTCTTCCATCATGGAGGATTGGTTGTTGGATTACTTGAGTGTGTGGATACAGATATACATAGTATGGAATGAGTAGATGGGGTATCAGTTGAAGGGAAAGTTGTGCATGTTCCCTACATTGGCAGCAGGAGAAGATTCTCTCTGTCCAGTACAACAGGATGGCAGCACAGAAAAGCCCAAAGGCTACAGTGATTGTGATGTGTTTTTGAGAGATAATATGAGCATATAGCATCAGTCACCATGGTTAAATGATGAGGGATGTAAGGAGCAAGCTTCAGCTAAATGTTAGCCACCAACTTGATAAACAATGGTAAACAAGAGAATGCCACTTGCACTTCAGTGGATCGTTTGCGATGCAGGCAATGTCGGTCTTATGAGCAGATAACTAGACTTAGATAGTCTCGGAGTGAGGAGCTATGAGTTGGGTTGATTAAACCTTAGCTGAAGCTGGGGTTCAGGCCAGCTGAGGCTCTACTTAAATACATGTTTCATACTGCTAATAATAGACTACTATTATTCGGTAACCATGCATGAAACAAAGAGAATCGTACGATGTCCATGTGTTGCAGTGACAACATGTCACGAATTCACCCCTATTTTTTGCTTTAGTCATTTGCTTCATGTCATCATTCCTCGATCGTCATGTGACTCTCATCATCATCCTCCTCCAGCTCATTCGTAACCTGTGCCAATACTCCTGCATCACACCTTACTTCCATCATGGTATCTTTGTTCCAATCAATCACCAGTTGCTTCCGCATCAGTTGATCCCTGGTTCGCAGTGGACAAGCTCAGACATTCTTACTCAGGCAAAGTCCTGGCCACAAGGGCATGACTCCTCCAGAACCTCACTCATCTAGCTGGCCACTCACCATTGGGTAGTCCTTTTGCTGGTGCATTGCCATTGGACATGTCGCACTCATTTGTTATCATGGCATCATAGTAGCATAAGTTATTATTACTGCACCAAAACTTGTATTTAAGTAATAGCCTATGCTGTGGCTAAACCCCAGCTTCGGCTAAAGTCATACACTCCCAACTTTACCTGAACTCCAAGTTCCACAACTAACTAAGTTCTGAACACTTAACAATACTTCGTATTGCTACCTTTGTTTCACTTCACTGAAGTGCGAGTGACGAACTAAGGCCCAATCTTGCATAGTCAAGTTGGTGCTTGACACAACATGAAGGTTGCATGTTGACAACATATGAACTGTCCTAGTGCTTGGATACACTGATAAGATAAAGACAAGTGCTGAAGAGATAAAATGGAAAAATCATAACAATTTCTCAAGTGAACACTTGACAATAGTTAAGGAATGAACAGAAGGTGGGAGGGTGAAAGGCATGCATATACAACATATATTGCTTGACCTACATCTGACACTCCTACACTTGAATTATTCAAGTCTTGGAAGCAGATGATAGAAGAAACACATAGTGAGGCAGGGCCAGTTCTCATACATGATGGCTTCAATATGAGAAGCTATACATCAATGTGAGACAAAATATGCCACTGCAGTGAATAATACAATGACATATTCATCCATAACCACAGGTGAACCACTGGCTCAAGTGAGACGATCCTGCCAATCAGCAGGCAGATGAAACATCAGTGTCTGGTATGTGAAACAAGTGGATAATCCACACCAATGATGAGAGATAGTGCAACTCCCAATGAGAATAGACTTAGGAACATATTTGGATGTTCTAAGAATATATGAGGCATGAGTAAGGTCTTAGAACAGGGTTTGTGTATGAGACAGTGACCGAGTGATATAACAATTTTCTTCCATTACCTTATCTCGCTTCAATGTCTCAAAGATTTGAAGTGCAGACTGAACGACTCAATGCTTGATAAGCTTAGTTTTTGCTAGTTTTTGCTATTCATTGCCAAACTCATCTTCCCACAAGATGTCTGTGACCCCTGACCCACCTTCTCATCTCACATTCAATCCATACCTCATCCCATGTCCCGATTTTGCTTCTGTCAATTACTTTTTCATCTGTGATGCTGTCCAGGCAGCTAATAATATTTCATCTGAGGAAGCTGTCGCTCAACTGGTGCAAAACTGGAAGACACGGAATGCCAAGGAGAGAGATCAGTGGGACACGCAAGTTTGGGCAGATAAACAGGCAGTAGACCAAGCAAAGAAGATGGCTGAAGAAGCAGTGCAGAAGGTACAGAAAGAAGCTGAGAAAGAGAGAGAGACTGAGAGAAAAGAGAAAGAAAAGAAGTGCCCAAAACTCATGAACTTTGATCCTTCACTGAGCATTGACAAAGAGGCTGATCCCATCCTTCACCCCTATGCTCTCAAACAACTCTCAGATTTCAAGTACTGTCCTCTTTGGTACTTCACCAAGATGTCAGCAATGGAAGCCTCCAGCATTGTTAATTCCCTTGCCCCCGACACCTTGAACCTCCAACAAGATTCTGGTTCTGGCTCTCTGTCTTTTCAGGCTCCTTCAACTGTCAAACCATCTAAGAATGCTTTACCTGACAAAGAGTTGTCTTGGTCCCAATTTTCATATGCTTTTGCCTGGTTTCTACGTGTGGTGAACACTGCAAATTGGCCAAAATCTACAATCCAAATGTTTGCCTCCATGTTCCTGAATCTGACCTTGCATTCCTTCTGACAAAGATTGAATGGCAAAAAAACTCTACTGGTTTATGCTGACAAGACTCACCGTCAATGGCATCATGACATTGAGGAGGGAAATTTGACTCCAAACCTAGTGACAATAGTTGTTGATCGATTGGAGAACATTTCAAATGACTTACATGACAAAATGAAGGCTTTCTCTGCCAAGGTCAGATCCTTTTTTCTCTCTTGACTGTTCCTTTCTGACTTTGGTTTTCTTGCTTTTGTGAACTCCTAATTTGACTGCTTCTTGGTTGCACCTCCTCATGGGTTGCATTTATTCATGATTTGATTGCATATTATAATGATATTAAAATTCACCTGCTCATTTCACCCATCTTGGGTGCTACTAGTCTGATTCTTTGACAAATAACTACTATAGCCATGGAGGACGTTCGAATGAGCATTCCCGTGTGAGATCTGTATCTTCATGCAGACACTATGATGATTACTGATTGAGCTACTCACAAAATTCATATGATCGTTGCTACTATGGAAAATCCCAATATGACACAAGCCATGACCAGCATTCAGATTCCTCACTAGCCTCACCTACAAGCTATAAATTCCCCATTGATCGTAATTCAAGTGGTCAAGCTCCTTTTCAGAAAGGCGCACCATCATCGGATGCTGTTGTGTGTGCCATCTGCCTCAGTATCCATGGAAATCTCAAATTCTGTCGCTCTCCTACCTTATGGAATGGAGGCCCAGCCTGATGCCTTCAAACAGCCAATGGATCAATGGTCAACAAGGAGGGCGAACTAATCTGCCTTGATTGGAACTGACCAAATGGATGCAAATGATCTCACCCAAGTTGTCATGAATGCTCAGGGTGTGGGAATTCCATGCATGGAGCCTTTCACTGCCCTTATGCTCAGAAGAAATAAGCCTTCTTCCCCTTTACACCCTCAAGCCTGGTTTACATACCTATCTGTGGCAGATCTTCTTTCCAGATATCCCACTATCTATAATGGTCTTTCCTTCAGTTTCAACATTGGCATTCCTCCCATCTATCACACATTCACACCCCCAAATAACCCTTCTATTGACCAATTTCATTCTGAATTTGATAGAATAGTATATCATGAATTTGATATGGATCGCTATATTGGTCCATTCACTCGCAATCAGGTTGAGAACCTCATTGGCCCTTTTCAAACTTCTCCCCTCTCACTTATCTCAAAGCCTCATACACCTGATGAGCTTCGCCTTATCCAGAATTACTCATTTCCCTGATCTCTCTCATTCCATCATTCCATCAATCAACTACTTTATCTCCTCTGATGACTTTCCATACACATGGGGAACAAGGACACCGACAACAGTCTAGGGGCCGACTCTGGTGGAAAGGCGAATGCCTGCCTGATGGACAGTGAGAAGAAACTGACAAAGATTGTGCCTTTCCCATACGAGACTTGTCTAATGCTTCTGCATGAGGTTCCAATGATATCGATTTCACCTACAATTTCAGTGATGTTGATGCCATATCAAAAGATCTCAGCATTCCCTGGAAACTCAAGAAGGACATTCTGTTCTCATCGATGTTTCCTTTCACAGGACTTATATGGAATCTTGATGTGTGAACAATCTCTCTTCCACTGGAGAAGAGGGAAAAATATATCACAGCTAGTCAGAACTGGCTTGAGCAAAGAGTTCACATCCTTTCTGATGTCGAATCTTTATACAGAAAGCTGCTACACATGACCTGTGTTATCCCCATGGAATGTGCTTATCTCACCAATCTTGAAAAGTTCCTGTCAATTGCCAATGACTGTCCTTTCTTGCCATGACATGTGCCAAAAGGAATAGAATACAACCTCAATTGGTGGTTATCCCAACTATTTTCCAACCCAGCTCGTTCCATCCCTGGTCCCTGCACCATCATCAACATCTCAGCCTTTTCAGATGCTAGCTCAGGAACAGGAATTGTCATTGTCATTGGCAACAGGTGGCACACTTGGCGACTTCTCCCAGGATGGAAATCCGAAAAACAAGATATCCAATGGGCCGAACGAGTTGGTTTCAAATTTCTTGTCTGAGCAATCACAGACAGCCAAGGTATGTTCAACAATAATAACATCATGACCAGCAGTTGATCCCTTTCACACCTTCAGACATCTCAAAACACCACATCAAGCTTCATGAGGATAGCAAGTCCATCATCGAGGGATGGTGGAATGGCTGACACAGAAATTCCAAAGTCAATGCCATCTTCCGCTGATGTGCTCGGTAACAGGCAGTGCACAAATGAAACAAGCATCTAGATCGTCAATCTAGATACTAAATCACACACACACACACACACTATCACCAATGTATACAAGTTCGAGGGTGAGTACAATAGAAGCACTCGCAATGTACTTAGATTTAGATAATCTAGTGGGGTTTTGTCTGAAAACAACTTCAATTCTTCTTTCAATGTGTTTTACGCAAAGTACACTAGTCCGCGATAGCAGTTTTATGAACTTGTTTTGCAAGGTATAGTCGAGCAAGTTATACTTGTTTTGACGTCGTCTAGAAGAGCTTCTAGCAGACACTTCAAATAATCAAACAACCAAAGATTCTGAGGTCTACAAAGAGTGCAAAATCACTCTACAAAGAACACACAGGTTCTGACTTCAAGTACAAGACTTGCAAAGAGTACACAGACTCTGGAGTTCCTTGAACCCGACAATTGTTCGAACTTTAAAGCGTTCTAGGGCTTATTTTACTTCAACTAGATGAGATCTTTTGACTTAAAGTCGACTCAGCACGTCTAGATCACTAATCTCGGAGAGAGAGAGCACAAGGCCTTTGTCCGCAGAGCAGTTTAATTAACTAGCAAGGCGCAAACGTGGGGACGGCTCTACTTCCTACTTAACTCTTCTAGATTACTGTAGTCACCTGTTAGCGACCGATTACACAAACAAGATCAAACAACTAAGCGTGACTCGCACTTCGGTCAGGCGCTTTATGTTGCTCGCAGGTCTGCGTGCAGGGAGCTATCGCTTAGCGAATCGAGAGTGAGTTCAGACTAGGTTATCGGGTGAATAAACTTTAGTTCGAGACTGAGGTTTAAGACCTACAGTCGAGCTACTTAAATACAGTTTGGGTCGTGCTAAATATACTACAAGTGTCTGTAACGGTGCGTTAAACACACGAAACCCACATTGTGAATGCGATCAAGTCCGGACAATTAGCATAGCAGGATTACGATGAAGGCGATAAGATAAGATAAAGCGTGAAATCGTAATATTACCCCCCTGTTAAGGCAGTCGTCCCGACTGCGATATAACTTGGTTTTGGAAGGTAGGCTCCTACGAGAGAGGGTGCGTTTGGTTTTATCAGGTATTCTTGAATTGCCTGAACCAATGGGTGGTCGGTTTCTGACTCGGTTACCGATTCATGTTCGGACCAAGAGTCAGATTCGTCTTCGTTCTCCCACCACTCCGCTGGGGGTCGGGTAATAAATGAGACTTGTTCAAAGTCTTCGATGGCGTCTCTCGCGTTGTCTAGGTCCTGTTCATCTACCCAAGAGTTTTCTTCTCGGGGATACCCTTTCCATTTGACGAGGTATTCGATTCCAGTTCCTCGTCTTCTTCCTCTTCTTCGTGGTGCTCTTTCCCTTCGGTCCACTATTTCTTCTACTTCATACTGTTCCTGCCCGTCTATAAGGTCTGGTGGTGGTGGCGAGGGCTGTATTTGGATTGGGAACTCCGGCGGGTGATACGGGGTGAGAAGGCTCTCATTGAAACGGTCGTGGATTTTCCACGCGGGGGGAAGTCGTAATTTGTATGCGGACGCGCCGTGTTTGGAAATTACCTCAAAGGGTCCGACGCGCTTATCTCCCAACTTCTTCATTGGTCGAGGTAGAGATAGGTTGGTAGAGTCTAACCATACCTGATCTCCTGGTTGGTACTCTATTGCCGCCTGTTGATGTTTGTCGTATTGACTGCTTCATGGCTTCCGCCGCTTTCTCTAATGCCTTGGCCGTTTGCTCATGGACTTTTTGTATATCTGCCACGAACTCCCTGGCAGCCGGGTTGGTTCCCTCCTTGATTGTAAGGGGGGCGAGATGGGGTTTTTGTCCATGGTTGACTTCAAATGGAGAGTATCCGGTCGCGGAATGTTTTCGGTTGTTGTGCTGGAAGGCCTGCGAGCGGTAACCATTCGCTCCAATCATTTTGTCTATGATTGATGAAGACTCGGAGATATTTTTCGATCTCCTGGTTTGCCCTTTCCGTTTGTCCATCGGTTTGGGGGTGATACGCCGTGGACGGATTTCCTTGTATGTGTAGCATCTCGTACAGCTCCTTCATGAATTTGGACACAAACTGTGGTCCTCGATCTGAAATCACTTTTTGTGGCATTCCATGTTTGGCCCAAACATGGTCTCTGAGAATTTTGGCCCATCCTTTAGAGGTTAGTTCGGTGGAGCATGGTATCGGGATGACTTCTTTCGAGAAACGATCAACTATCATAAGGATGGCATTATACCCGTTGGAGTCAGGCAGTTCGCCTATCATGTCAACCGTAATGTGTTCCCATGGTCTGGAGGGTACCGCGTGAGGATGCAAGGGCGCTCGCTTTTTCTGGGTATTTGTTTTTGTCCGCTGGCATGCCTCGCATCCTTTTACGTACTTCTCCACATCTTGTTTCAGCTTTGGCCACCAATACTCTCGTTGGACTAGCTCTTTGGTTTTCTCGATTCCCGGGTGCCCGGCTGTAATGTGATCATGATGAATGGCTAGGAGTTCTCCCCGTAGCTTTGCGTCTCGGGGAACGTATAACCGTCCATCATAATACATCAGGCCTTCTTGTTGGGTGACTCCTCGAGGGTGATGGAGGGACGCCTCTATTCCTTTGTCCCATCTGGTCACTGTCGCGCAGAGCGGTTCGTATCTTTTTGTGAATCTCTTCTTCACTTGGCATAATGAGTGCTCGGAACATTTCTGGTTTCAGAACCACTACCTCCGTATTGTCTTCTCCTCCTTGGTCGTGATCCGATCTTCTGGA